CAAAGGTTTTCCGTTTTGTTTTTATTCGTATATTTTCATATCTTCCATTTTGTCTTCATTCATATATACATATATTCGGCTCTTCTGAACAAAAGCTTCACCATTATAATCATATGTGCTGGAACTGAGTTGCTTGACCGTCATACATCGAACCCTCCCTTCGTATTCGATGTATGAGGGACAAGCACCTTAGTCCCATACGCATATGATTCGATTATAGTCGTGAAGGCTTTGTGCAGAAAAGCCGAAGGCAGAGACATGGTGCACCACGTGCCACAAGATCCCCAAATGATTCTCTGCAGGTTTTTGAATTCAGAGTTGTCCTTCTCCTAGACCAGTTGCCATCCAAAGCTGAGTTGGGAAAACGAAGATACATACCTTTCCCAAGGGTATTATTCCTTAATCATATATATATATATATATATATAATGAACATAAACTTTAGATTTATTCATAATTTCAATCTCGCTATACATCACATTTGGAAAATGCAACGATTCGTCTATCAAATTCATAATCCTTACTAGTTTTTTTGAAGAAGAGTAGAGGTTTATCCCCGGTTTTCTGATTGGGTTTCAGGTCCCTTCTAAAGTGTTTTCCTTTTCTTCCACTCCCAGTTGGCCCGCTTGCATTTTCATGGCATTATCGCTTTATTTGGAGTAAATCGATTCAGCAATGAGAAAAGCACATATCTTGTCGGTTGAATTTTACAAACCGTGGTTCTATAAATTTTCGCCAATTAAATACACTTATGCCTCTCTGTATCTATCCATCTATATATATATATATATATATATATATATATATATATATATATATATATATATATATATATATATATATATATAATTAGAACAATTGGTATGTGTTGGATTTGACATTAGCTCACTCCGTGTTGTTGCTGCTGCTAACTATAACTCTTATTGTCTTAGATTTGGTGTCGATGAATTTTAGGTTAACAACAGGACAGAGGGTGGGATATATAGAATAGATTGTACAAAATGCCAAATGACGTACACAGGAGAAATTCTAGGAACTAAAGAAAAGAAAAGACTATATGAACATCGCAGAGATATGCTTCAAAAGAATATTTTAAACATATTGGTGGTTCACCTTAATACATCTGGCCACAGTTTGAACTTAATAAATGCCAGCTTGACCAAGAGCGTAGTAAATGCATTGGGTGTGCGTTCATCTTACAGTTCTCGAAAATAAACCTATGACCAGTGTAGTAAAAACAAAACCAGTGAATAAACTTATACCAAAGCTTTAATGCCCTTTACTCTGACTACTCACCTACTGACAGGTATAACAGGGTGATTTTTATACCTTCTAGATCTTAAGGGGAGGTAAATGATGATTTATCAGTACAACCGGGTCCATATATAATATTACCGATCATCGCAAAAACAATAATAGCACAATGCAGTATAGGAGGGGAACAAAAACCCCGGATCTACTCGGAGTAGGCTGATTTAAAATCCAACAGACATCAACGGTTCTAGTATATCTATCTATCTATATCTATATCTATATATATATATATATATATATATATATATATATATAATGTGTGTATGTATGCAAAATTTCAGATAGATTATATCTGTATAAGAACAATATGAATAAAGACAAAAGGAAAGCTTATCTTAGCCGACGCGTTTCGTCCTTGGAGATAACTTATCAAGGAAAATTAAATATTCCTTGATAAAGTCCTTCAGAAGACGAAACTCATCGGCTTGATAAGTTTTTCTTTTGTCATTATTCATATATATATATATATATATATATATATATATATATATATATATATATATATATATATATAATTAGTGGTAAATATACACATATGCAAAATATATAAATATATATACATACATGCATACACATACATATATATTTTGTATAAAAAAATTCCAAGAGGATAGAATCCAGGTAGAACTCAATGACCAGGACAGAGTAAGGATATAATAAAAGGCTTAAACACAAATATTCCATGGTCATAATTTATTCCATTGGAATCGTAATGAGTCAATTCATCAGACCTACAAATTCAAAAAGAAAACAGAAAATTGAATTTGTAGGTCTGATGAATTGATTGTATTTACGATTCCAATGGAATAAATTATAACCATGGAATATTAGTGTTTAAACTTCTTATATATATATATATATATATATATATATATATATATATATATATAAATGACAATAGGAAAACTGTAGTTATTGCTGACGCATTTCGTCCAATGTGGACTTTCTCAAAGCAAAAAACGAAATGAATTTAATTAAAGTACGTAACTAATAATAACAAAAAACAGATTGTTCTTAACATCTGGAGGAATGTAGAGAACGCTCTTTTCATATTGTTAATTGAAAATAACGTCAGTTATTGTCACGTATGGATAATATTGTCATTATAACTGTGTTGTCGGATTCAACCATTTTCTTTTGATTTTACGATATTGTTGTGTACGCTTGTTTGGGAGAGCAGTAATTTTGTTAAGAAAGGTGAAATAGGGAAAAGGTCTGGGCGTAGATTAATATTTGGGTAATATTCTATGGCGGCACTCTCTAGAATTTTCCCTCTGAGTAAGTTATTTTCTTTTTTTATGAGTGTAGCATTTTTAAAATCAAAATTACTGCTCTCCCAAAATATAGTTCTGTCAATCACAGCTGGTTGATATTTAACTATCTGTCCATGTTATTATTTCATGACTGTCTACTATTCTGTCCAAATCTCTCAGTATGTCCATATCTATCTATCTATCTATCTATTTCAACTTTGTCATTATCTATCTATTTATTTCAACTTTGTCATTATCAATCTATCTGTCTATCTATCTATCTCAACTTTGTCATTATCTATTTATTTCAACTTTGTCATTATTTATCTATCTATCTATTTATTTATTTCAACTTTGTCATGATCTCTCTATTTTAACTTTGTCATTATCTATCTATCTATCTAAACTTTGTCATTATCTATCTATTTATTTCAAATTTGTCATTATCTATCTATCTATCTATCTATCTATCTATCACAATCGGTAAAAAATAAATCGCTTTGTGCAGAATCCAAGACTTAAAAAAAAACTGTCATTGCAGAACGCTCGTGTGTAGTCGGAATTTATTCAAATTGATAATTTCAATATGTTTTACTTTTGACAATATGTCTGTAACTCTTGTCTAATTGGAGCTTGTCACGGTTAACAGTGAGTGTAACAGCTGAGTGCTTGACACTGCAGCATTGGTTGCTATATGTGAGTGGTTTTCCCCACATATTAAGTCTTTTTTTTTCAATATCAATTATCAAATATAAGTGGAATTTCGGCAAAGTAAAGATAAGAAGGTTCAAACGTTTACAAAGAGAAATAATACGAAGAGACGTTAAGCAATGAGAAGCTCGAAATTCAAATTCGCTTTGCCGATTCCATTTTAATGTCTATATCTATCTCTCTCGGTCTGTTTGCTATCTATCTATCTATCTATCTATCTATCTATCTATCTAGGTCCATTCCTACCTACCTATCTATCTATCTATCTATGTCCATTCCTACCTATCTATCTAGGTCCATTCCTACCTACCTACCTACCTACCTACCTACCTACCTACCTACCTACCTATCTATCTATCTATATATCTATCTATCTATCTATCTAGGTCCATTCCTATCTATCTATCTATCTATCTAGGTCCATTCCTATCTATCTATCTATCTATCTATCTATCTAGGTCCATTCCTATCTATCAGTCTAAATCCATTCCTATCTATTAGTCTATCTAGGTCCATTCTGTCTATCTATGCTTGTGTGGAACGTTTACTATTTGTATAGATGCAAAGAAACAATGTGATTGGTAAATTTTTCACAGCTTATATATTAATATGGCATAAGTCCCAAATTTGTTGTTTATGGAATTAGGTAAGAATTTAGCGTTATCCTCATTTTCCAGATGTTCAGTTCCTTCCTACCTTGAAAACCAGTATTCAATATCTCAAAGCGTCTTTTACCCTAATCTCGAACACTGGCCCGAAATAAGTGGCTAACGCGCCTACTAAGCTCCCCCCATCATTATCTGTTTAAGGCTCACAGTAATGGGACACACCTTGAGCTCAATATCGAACTACGTAAAGATTTGAAAGAGAATCTTCATCATTGGTATTTTTTAACCATGTTCATGTGTATCTTATTTTCTCAGAATAGCTAAGTCTGGCTGAAGGTTAAATTAATGAGGCATGTAGCGAAAATAGCTTTTTCTATATGAATAAATAATTTTGCAAGATGGTAGATTTAAGCTAGGGACTCGCTGTATTTTAATTTTTTACAATCTCTCTCTCTTTGACCATGTTTGTTTAAAAACACTGTAGGTGTAAGTAAAATATTTAAGTAAGTGTAACGGTTATATCTGAGAGAAAACATTAAGTCTAACGGTTAAAAACAAATGCTAAAAAATAAAAAAAAATAAACACCAGCAACAACAAAAAACACTATTTATTTTAAAGAAATAACTATAACGAAAAAAAGTATCTATCTGAAAAAGAAGGTTAAAAATCGGCTGAACATTTAAGATGAGACGTGATTGGACAAGAGCGCCGATTTTGCCACACCTTCATCTCTTTCGCCCCCACCTACGATTCTGACAATAAAAAAATAACTGCTCCTACTACTATTACCATGAATATTAGTGCGCCTTCTATTCTGATCACTGAGCATTGAAATAACAACTATCACTTCTGTTGAATTCCCCCCTTCCTCTCTTTGTTTGCATTTTGTACTTTGTCTGGTAGCATCTCCGCCTCTTTAGTATTTCAATGGTCCACTATCTTGTATCGTTTTGTTTTGCTTCTATCTAACTATCTATCTATCTATCTATCTATCTATCTATCTATCTATCTATCTATCTATCTATCTCGGTCGGTTTGATATGTATGTATGTATGTATGTATCTATCTATCTATCTATCTATCTCGGTCGGTTTGATATGTATGTGTGTATGT